AATACTGCTTCACCTCACCCTCCACATAATAAATATCTATATAAATGTACTCCCTGGATTCCAATTACTAGTCATTTTGTATATCAGGGACATATCAATTGTGAAGAAATAGCTTGCATACAGTCACCTTTTGACTCCTATTATGCATAATGCCATTTAGCTACAAAGAGAACTTTTGTTAAAAAATGAAAATTCTGTACAGAGCATGTAAATGAAAGAGAAAAACAGACGAAAATAGCTTCCAAACACTATAGCCTTGGAGAAAAATATCATTGAGCATCTCAGAATTTCCATAGCATTCGTCCCACAAGAGCTATTCAACAAGTAGGAACCTCCCGTCTCCTCTGAACCACCACATAAACCCTTCATTTTTGGCCTACGTGTCACTGAAAGTGTTACCTATAGTTATCTTGCCACAAGCCAAGAAAGAGGTGTACTCCGAATTCATGTCACTATTTCCATCACCTAAGTGTGATTCTTATGTTTCAAATATTAAACATCCTAAATGGTCAAAAAAAGAGGGAGACAATGGATTATACTTTTTAAATATGCAAGCCCAACCACTCAATTATACTTATGCTTCAACTGCAACTTAGAACACTGAAATAGTCCTTCATTTATCATGCACTCACAAAAGGGTTTTTGGTTTTTTGCTTTGCTATATTTTTTGGGGGGAGGTGGGGGGACATGTACACACAGGAAGCTTTCTGCCTCCTTTATTTTCTCATGCAACTGTAGGGTTTCTTGTTTTGTTTTGTTTTTTCCAGAACACCCCATGCCTGCTTTTATAGAAGTCACATAAATACCACCTAGTCTCACTGGAAAATGATGGAAACTTTGTCAGCAGAACTTCATGAAAAAAATATATATATATATTTCTTGCTTAGAAAATAAGTCATGATTTTAAAGGACCAGCAGCATCTGTGAAGAAACCCTGTCAGTCAGAATCCTACACACATGCAAAGATTTGCCCACCTCAGCCCTGTGGGACTGATTCACTCAGACCATACTGCTAACCCTGTCACCAAGCTTTCGTTCCTCTCTCCCTTTCTCTGTGCCATTTTACCTCCACAAAGTTCAAATTATTTGTCTATATAATCCTGAGTTAAAATAAAGTTTCAATAGAAGTAATAAGACCAAATTAAGTATAACAAGGGAGTTTTAAAAAAATATATAAGATCCACTAAAGAATTTACTATGACAGGGGAAAAAATATGTATTTTGTACTAAGTTCCACAAACTCTCTCAGGGGTGCACTGAAAACCATGTAACACCATTGACTAGACACCTTTCTTGACATCCTGGAACTTGCTTATAAGAAAGAGGGCGCGGTGGCTCACGCCTGTAATCCCAGCACTTCGGGAGATAGAGGCGGGCGGATCACGAGGTCAGGAGATCGAGACCATCCTGGCTAACACAGTGAAACCCCGTCTCTACTAAAAAATACAAAAAATTAGCCAGATGTGGTGGCGGCGCCTGTAGTCCCAGCTAATCCGGAGGCTGAGGCAGGAGAATGGCGTGAACCCGGGAGGCGGAGCTTGCAGTGAGCCGAGATCCGGCCACTGCACTCCAGCCTGGGCAACAGAGCCAGACTCCGTCTCAAAAAAAAAAAAAGAGGTATACGTAAGAGGTGTACTTATAAGCAAGTTCCAAGATGTCAAGAAAGGTGATTAGAAAGCATGGGAAGCATAATCAGTCATCATCATGATAGAACTTAATTTTCAGGTATATTGTTGAGCCATGATTCTTGTTTCAGAAAGTAGATAGCAGGGACCACTTTCCCTGTCCAAGTTGGTAATGCGAAGGAACAGTTCTGACTAGAAATGAGGAGGATTGACGGGCGTTTTTGACACCTGTGCTCAGTCCATTCCTCCTCCTTCCTCCAGACTTTTTGCTCTGTTCATAGGCAGTGCGGAGATAACAGAAGATCTGCATGGTTGACTGCGACTTCCTGGTTATGTTGCTTAAGATATCTGAGTGCAGGAGGAGTAAGCCCTGCAAAAAGTCCAAGAAATCTTCAGTGTTTCTAGTTTTCTGCTGCTCTAATTAAACATTTGAGATAAATTAACCGACACACAGAATAAAATCAGATACCTTCTCTCTTGTAATTCGTAAAGATTACATGTCTGAGAACTCAATATCTAGCCCAAATCCCAGCACATGCAAAGGCAAAATAATGAACGATTCAGTAAATGAACATGCGGTAGCTGGGTAACCAGTTACCTAGAGACAAGCATTCACCTGAGCAAAGTTTACTGTCCAGGGAGTTTTGCTCGTGGTCATATAAAGAAAGCATTACAGTTATTGAGGACTATGTACTAAGGCTTTGTGACAGGCTCTGTTATTGTCTAGTGAAGAGGATTCTGCCATTTAGAATAGGAAGGTGTACAATGTTAACTATTTTATGATTTTCTTTATTTAGTGTGGTTTTTCTGCCAATTGAAAAGTCATTTTCTATATTGTAACAACTTCAAAAACACACACATCATACTATTCCTTTTACATTAAGAAATCTGCAAAGTTATGTTTCAGAATATGAATTAGATTGCTAGAAACACATTCTCGATACACATATGGTATTTAAAGTAATTATAATATTTTAGCCATTTAAAATTGTTTTCATTTTCATGAAGTAAACTCAAAAGCTTTCCCTATCAACATGAAGAAAATGTAAGAGTATCCAGTTTCTGCATCTCTGCTATCTATCTAGTCATCTATATGACTCCAGCACACAATTTGTATTATTAGATTATTAGGGTCCTTTCGCCCTGTGATGCACAGGAGAAAAGAATGAGGTTCCCTGAAGAGAAGCCGTTCACTAGGTGGCTGCTATGGACTGAAATGTATACCTCACAAAATTCCTGTGTTGAAATCCTAACCCCTAATGTGACTATAATTGGAGATAGAGCATTTAGGAAGGGAATTATGGTGAAATGAGGCCACAAGGGTGGAACCCTAATCTGCTAGGACTGGTGTCCTTTTAATAAGAGGGACGAACACCAAAGCTCTCCCTGTCTCTCCTCGGGAGCAGAGGAAAGGCCACGTGAGGACATAGCAAGTCAGCAGCCCTCTGCACGCCAGGAAGAAAGCACTCTCCAGAAACCAGCCCTGCTAGCACCTCAATCTTGAACTTCTACCTCCAAATCTGGACAAAATAAATGTGTTGTTTAAGCCACTCGGTGTGTGGCATTTTGTTACAACAGCCAGTGCTGAAGAACACACTTTGCAATGCATGGCTCGGAACTGGGAAAGAATGAAACTGTTTTGATTACACATTCCTGTAAAGAGGACTATGGTGCATCATGTGGTATGAGGAACAGGATCTTAGAGGCATTGTTTCCATTTACAGCAGGAAACACCTTAAAAATAACACAGGAACAAGACATAGTCTCTTACTCTAAACTTGGCTATTCTGTTCGTGTAAAGAAGGAAATAGAATAAAAGTAGGCTACAGTATCTAGTTTGTTTTGACTCCAATATTTCTTAATAAAGCAGAAAGTCACACAACTAAGGTGAAAATTCACAAGTGTACAAAGCCAGAGCCAGAAAATGAGTCAGATATGAAATCCATTATTGGAAAAGACAAAAATATTGAAAGATTTCAGAATGTCTCACTTAACCTAATCTAAATTTCCTATCAAGTATTTTATATTATTTACTTGTTCTGAGATAAGTGAGGAAATTGTTCATGGGTTTAAAAAGACATGTTTGATGTTTGTTGTTTTTTACCATTGAAAGCACGAGAAATAGCAGGAACTGGAATTCAACACCACCTCACAAATTTAGGCATTGATGATTACACTGATGCTAAGAAAAACTCATCATCTCAAAGTAGGTGACAATACTCTTTCTCTCCCTAGGGAATAATCCCTTGTTCAGACATACTATGACTACAAACTATATGCAATGCAGCTGGTCCTTTTTGCCCATGTACCAGATTTTGTTGGGTACACATAGTATTTTGTATGTTTATAGTTATGTTTCAGTCTTATTTAGTGTCCAAACAATTGGGTGGTTTCACAAAAATTTAGATTTCTGCCTTCTCTTTAAAACTCAAAATACCTGGCAAGTATTGTTAGAGCTGAGCAGCAACTGATCCTCTATTTGGGAACCTCAGCTCCCCATAAACTTAACCAAGGCCATTTCACTAATATTTGTTACCTTCCTATCTCTTCCAGACATTTTAGTGTATAACCTCTGCTTTAATATTGGGAGATTTTCCACCATGGCACACATTTGCCTATGCAACAAACCTGCACATCCTGCACATGTACCTCAGAACTTAAAAATACACACACACACACGCGCGTGCGGAGGTTTTGCTTTTTTTAAAACCAGTATCTGTGTCCTGTTCTTCCCTCCCCATCAATACTTCTATTCTGATAAAGCAATCTAACTATAGACTGCAACACTGGGATGACAACTGGAGAAAGGGAGGGAGGAAGAAGAACAATCATAAATTTCATCTTGGAAAGCACAACCCATGCAAGAAAACTCAACCAGAGTGAAAGACAGGGAAGATGTGCAATAATGCACATTTTCATTTTAAAATTTTAAATAATAGGTATATGCTATATATACTCCATATGTATGTTCAGTGTCAGAGAACAGGGTTAGAAGAACATCCTGTCTTATTTATCAAAGTTATACCAGATTTAACTTCTTCTAGATTCTGGGGTCTGGGCTAGGAAATATATATCTCAACCTACCACCCCGCTCTGGATTGAAGAGTATTCAGTAGCACCCAAGCTGATATTGAATGAGGCCAAAGCCCCAAATGCCAAGTCTGTATAGGTCATCCATCTCTTCTAATGTGAGAATAAGCAAATGAAAAGGTAAAAAGGGAGAAATACTAGCAGGGCTCACAGCAAAAGAAAATGCAGAAATGTAGAAAAGAGATATTATCCCAAAGATTCTGAACACAGATGTAAAAATAACTTAGCAAAAAAGAAGAAACATATATATATATATATATATATATATATATATATATATTTTTTTTTTTTTTTTTTTTTTTTTTTTTTTTTTGAGACGGAGTCTCACTCCGTCACCCAGGCTGGAGTGCAGTGGTGCCATCTTGGCTCACTGCAAACTCCGCCTCCCGGGTTCACGCCATTCTCCTGCCTCAGCCTCCCCAGTAGCTGGCGTTACAGGTGCCCACCAAGTGGTTGGCATTTTTTTTTAAACACTCAAGATCAGATACATTTACATTATTGTGCGACCATCAACACCATTCATCTCTAGAACTTTTTTCATCTTTCTCAACTGAAACTCTGTACTCATAAAACAATAACTCCCTTTTCCCTCTTCCCCAACCCTTGGCAGCCATTCTGTCTCCTTGAGTTTCACTACTCTAGGTGATATGGGAGCGGGGCAGGGAAGTGCTGGGTAGAGAAGGCAAATCTAAGAGAGTTTGGTAACACATGCCCACTTGGGCTTCGGGAGTCACAGACACCCATCCCTAGATGCTGCCACGGGGCCTGAGCCCAAAAGCCCTCACCTGGGCCTCTGCACCTGCCTGTCTGGATGCTCCTACTAGGGGTATGAGCTACGGGACTACCAAGAAGGCAAGCCACACCCCCGTCACACGTCCTGCGAGGGGAATCAGGGAACTCTCCCGTTTCACAAGTACCTCATCCAAGTAGAATCATATCATATTTGTTCTTTTGTCATTGGCTTATTTTACTTAGTACTGAATAAAATGGTAAACTTTGTTATGTTTATTTTATCACAATTAAAAAAAAAGGCTCAAGAAATTACCTTCTTTATGAAATAGGAGTAAAATGTCATGAGAGGAAAATTAAGCAATAGGCTATAATTAAATAAAAGCCAACAGGATAGAAGATAGGTAGAATAAGAAAGAATTGCAAATAGATTCCAAAATAGAAAAGGTCATTATATTTGGTACTGGGAATTGGCAATGATTTCTTGTACGTAATACCAAAGGTACAGACAACAAAAGAGAAAAACAGACAAATTGGAGCTACTGAAAGTTTAAAATTTTGTGCATCAAAAGACACTATCAACAGAGTAAAAAAGCAACCCCACAGAATGGGAGAGAACATTTGGAAATCACATATTTAATAAGGGATTAATATTTAGAATATGTACAGAATTTTTATAATTCAACCAAAAGCAACCTGATTGAAAAATGGGAAAAGGACTTAAAAAGACATTTCTCCAAAGAAGATATACAAATGGCCAATAAGCATGTGAAAAGATTCTCAACATCATTAATCACTGGAAAAATGCAAATCAAAACTACAATTAAAGTTTCACACCCATTAAAATGGCCATGATCCAAAACAAAAAACAAACACAAAAACCAACCCAGAAAACAACAAGTTTTGGTGAGAATATAGAGTAATCGGAACCCTTGTGCACTGCTGCTAGAATTATAAAACAACATAGTCACTGTAGAAAACACTATGGTGGTTCGTCGAAATTTAAAAAAAGGATTGCCATATATCTAGCAACTCTCTATACATGAAAGAACAGAAAGTAGGATCTTAAAGAGATATCTGTACCCCAATACTCACAACATTATTCACAATAATTCAAATGTGTAACCTACTCAAGTGTCCATCAATGGATGAATGGATAAGCAAATTGAGGGATATACATGTGTATCAGCCCGTTCTCATGCTGCTAACAAAGACATACCCAAAACTGGGTAATTTATACAGGAAAGAGGTTTAATTGACTCACAGTTCAGCATGGGTGGGGAGGCCTCAGGAAACTCAATCATGGCGAAAGGGGAAGCAAACATGTCCTTCTTCACATGGCAGCAGCAAGAAGTGTCTAGCAAAAGGGAGACAAGCCTGTTATAAAACCACCAGATCTCATGAGATCTCACTCACTATCACAAGAACAGCAGCATGGGGCTAATTGCCCCCAGGATTCAATTACCTCCCACCAGGTCCCTACCCCAACACCTGGGGGTTATGGGAACTACAATTCAAGATGAGATTTGGGTGGGGACACAGCCAAACCATATCACCATGCAATGGAATATTATACAGCCTTAAAAAGAACAAAAATTCTGTCATGTGCTACAATATAGATGAACCTTGAGGACCTTACCCTAAGTGAAATAGTCCAGTCACAAGACAAATACTGTATAATTCCACTTACATGAGCTACTTAGAGTCATCAAAATCATAGAGTCAGAAAGTGGAATGGTGGATGCCAGGGGCTCAGGGAAGTGAGGAGTTACTGGTGAGTGGGTATAGAGTTTCAGTTTTACAAAATGAAAAGAATTCTGTTGATATGGGGATGGTAGTGATAGTTATACAATAATTTAAATGTACTTAATGCCACTGAACTATACACTTTAAAAATGGTTTTGCTAAGTTTTGTTATGAATATTTTACAATTAAAAATTTAGAAAAAAAATGTTGATACTGGAAATAGCATACAGCTAAGCTGCTGCTATAGAAAAAAAATGGATGTGGAATGTAGATGACAAACATAAAATAATTCCATAATGTGTGAAAAGCATTGCTCCTGGCACCCAGCCATTATTCAAGAAAAGGCAGCCATTATTATGTTTGGGGAAGGGAGGCATAAGAAGATCTCTGTGATGAAGAAATAATAAGTTATTAGACAGGGAGAAGATGGGAAGGTCCTATGACCCACAGCCTTCTAAGAACTAGAATATTCAAAAAGGGTAACCACACTCCAGGCCAAGCCAATTCAAACAAAACAAAGGAACCACAATAATTTTAATGGCAAGGATATTTTAAAAATCCACAGCATAGGCAAAGATAAATAAAAGAGATTACAGGCCGGGCGCGGTGGCTCACGCCTGTAATCCCAGCACTTTGAGAGGCCGAGACGGGCGGATCACGAGGTCAGGAGATCGAGATCATCCTGGCTAACCGGGTGAAACCCCGTCTCTACTAAAAAACAAAAAACAAAAAACTAGCCGGGCGAGGTGGCGGGCGCCTGTAGTCCCAGCTACTTGGGAGGCTGAGGCAGGAGAATGGCGTAAAAACCCCGGAGGCGGAGCTTGCAGTGAGCTGACATCCGGCCACTGCACGCCAGCCTGGGCGACAGAGCAATACTTCTTCTCAACAAAAAAATAAAAATAAAAATAAAAAATAAAAGAGATTACCTAAAGAGAAATAAATGTTTTCCTATTTGCATTTTTTCTTCTATACTAAATACCATAAGACAACAGGACAACAGGCACTGTATTTAATGATCATTCCTTTCACAAAATACTGAAAAATCAACTCCAACCAAGAAAGAATCAAAATTGAGAACTCAAGATCAGAAAAATTAAAGTTAGGAATAAAAGCTTTAAAAAGGAATGCATGAGATGAGGGGTTTTGATAAAACACCCACAATGGTTAATTTTATGTGTCATTTAACTGAGCTAAGGGGTACCCAAGATAGTTGGTAAAACATGATTTCCAGGTGTATCTGTGAGGGAGTTTCTGGACAAGATTAGCGTTAGAATCGGTGGACTGAGTAAAAAAGATCCACCCCTGCCAATATGAGTGGGCACCATCTAAACCAGTGTGGGCCTGAATAGAACAATAAGGCACAGGAAGGGTGGATTCTCTTTTTCCCTGAGCTGGGACATCCATCTTCTTCTGCCCTCAGACACTGGAGTTTCTGGTTCTCAGACCTTGGGACTAGGACTGAATTACACTACTCATTTTCCTAGTTCTCCAGCTTGCAAACAGCAGATCATGGGAGTTCTCAGTCCCCATAATCACATGAACCAATGCCCATAATACATCTCCTCCTCTTTATCTATCTCTCCATCCATCCATCTTTATCTATCTATACCTATAAATCTGTGTCCTCTTGGTTCTGTTTCTCTGGAAAACCCCGACTAATACAACACCTAATTACAAAAGCCCTGTTTGGCATCACCACCTAAAACTACCAAAACTGACTGAATTAACAACATTAAGGAACCTAAAAATGTAGACAAGTTGATGCCGTCTTCCATAATGGCTCCTTTATCAAGATTTAAAGCAAAATAACAGCAAGAAACAGCAACCATGATAAGTTACCTTGTTATTGAATGCGAAACTTTCCTCTAGAAATGCCTCTTCCCCACAGAAGTTTACCACAAGATTCAAACTCAAATCAGTGAGCAGGTCTAGTATTGGAAGTAGAGGATGAAACACAGGAGTTTATCAGATTATTCTCTCCATCCATGTGTGGGTTTGAAATTTTGCATAATAAACAGTTTTTTAAAAAAGAAAAAATATATATGCAAACACATAAAGAAAAAAAATAGAATACTTAGCAAAGTGAAGGTAGCCAATTTGTCCTTCCAAGTAAGAAATGCAAGTGAATTGTGCAAGTTCTTTTTCCTAAATTTTAAGTGTTATACTTACTTAGTAAAGAAAATAAAATTTTAAAACTATGTTTAAAACAATAAATTATACTTAAGAAAAAACACTGGAAGGAAACTTAAAACAACTTCTAAAATCAGATTTTATTGGATAATGGAATTGTTAATAATTCTCTCCTATTTGTACTTTCCAAATTTCCTTTAATAAGAATTATAAAATTTAAAATGAATTATTTTAATATCTGAGCTTGCTTTTTCTTGCACAGCTCTCTTGGATATATCGGAAAGAAATGACTTCAGTGTAAATGATATTGTATTTTGTTATTTATTCATAGCCTGTCTTATTAAAAATAAATATATTCTCTTTTAAAGTCAGTACTTAAACTGGGTATGAAAATATATTATCAAGCTAACTTTTTAAACTCAAAACTTTTACAAAAGCAACTAAGAGTCACAAAATGACAATAGCATAAATTGATAATGTTGATTTTTATGGATCGAAATTTAAAGTACCATAAGCCACAGGTTTACTTTCTGTATTACTCCTTTATTATTTTAATGCCAGTTTATTATTGAACCTGTAGTCACCTTGCTCTTTAAAAGCTCTCACCAAAAAAAAAAAAAAACCCAACTCATCTATTTTATAATGAGAAGCACTCAATCTTTAGTCAAACCACCAGATTCAAAACCTCTATTTTTTACAAAGCATACTATCATTTTAGCATTTTACTTGATAAAGTATCTGCTTTATGATTTGCCTCAGACTTCAAGCTATTTTCTTGTTACACACTTTTTAATCTCATCACTGCTTCTCCTTGTAATTATTTCTTGTGCTGTTGTAATTTTCCATTAGTCTTTTTTAATTCCACTGTGTGTGTGAGCTGATAGCACACCTGACCTTTCAGGCATCCATTCATTTTGCAGTAAACTCTGGCACCTGTATTTCTCCTGCCTTCCTTTTCCAGGATGTTTTTATCCTTACTTCTTGCATCCCTCCACATTTTGCTCCAAAATAATTTATCATCCCTGTTGTCCTCAGGAATAACTTTTGTTCCAATTGCGAAGCTAAATTAATTGGACTCCTTCACTGTCTCTTTGGAAAGTTGTCTCTCAGTTGAACATTTCTAATTATGGCCTAAATAGCTCCTAAAAATTAAGGTCAGAACCACTCCATTTCAAGAATGCTCAGAGTATTGTGAACACAAAGAAAATCTTTTTTATGTATAAACAAACCTTTGGCTACGTTTTTACCTATATAATGTAAAGGATTTTCCATGAGCACTTAAATTTTTTTTTTTTTTTTTTTGAGACAGGGTCTCACTTTGGTGCTCAGACTGGAGTACAGTGACATGATCTTGGCTCCCTGTAGCCTCTACCTCCTGAGCTCAGGCAATCCTCCCACCTCAGCCTCCTGAGTAGCTAGGACCACAGGTGTGTGCCTCCATGCCTGGCTAATTTTTTGTATTTTTAGTAGAGACCAAGGTTTGTCGTGTTGCCCAGGCTGGTCTTGAACTCCTGGGCTCAAGCAATCTGCCCACCTTGGCCCCCCAAACTATATATAGGGGTAAGCCACCGTGCTGGGCTATCTTTAAATATTTTGACTATCAGCACTGCTATCCTCAAAACAATGGAAGACTGAATATAGAAACAGACAATGACTGAACCACATATAAATACAGACCTCTGACCCACAGTCTGCAGCAGCCAGCCCAGAAAGCCAACCTACTCCCTACAAGTCCGATTTGCAGAAAGTCAGACTGCTGTCTGTAGCAACCAGTCCAGGAAGCCAAACAATAGACCCTGTAACAGCTGCACAGGGCCAGGCCTTGATTAATAACTAACGCTTCCCCTTTTTTTTTTTTTTTTTAAAGTTGGTGTCTCACTCTATGGCCCAGGCTGGACTGCAGTGGAGTGATCTCGGCTTACTGCAAGCTCCACCTCCTGGGTTCACACCTTTCTCCTGCTCAGCCTCCCAAGTAGCTGGGACTACAGGCACCTGCTACCATGCCCAGCTAATTTTATTTTTAGTAGAGATGAGGTTTCACCGTGTTAGCCAGGATGGTCTCGATCTCCTGCCCTCGTGATCTGCCCGCCTCAGCCTCCCAAAGTGCTGGGATTACAGGCATGAGCCACCGCATCCAGCCACAGCTTCCCTAATTGTTGGCCTCACATCCAACTTAGAAACATCAGAGAAAGTCAAATATGCACTCCTAACCAATCACATAGGACACCCCCTCCTCCAGCTTCCTGGTGCCAACAGTCTCCAATCAGGGCATTCCTGGAGTCTTCCCTTTCACACTACAAAGCTTTCCCCTCACCTGCCTGCCTTCAACTCTCTGTCAAATGCAAGTGATGGTGACTGACTCCCTCACTGGAGCAAGCACTGCACAAATAATCCCTGCTTGCTCTCGTTTGGGTGGTCTTCACGTACAACCACACTTAGCTTTCAAAAACTCAAATATAGCTTAACTTTTAGATATGCTATGAGGGCTAAAATGTCCATTTTCTTTTCTAGTTTATTATTACTGGAGATGTAAGGCTTAAACTTCTAGATGTGTACTATGTCTTTTCCATTAAAAGCACACTTACTATACTGGCTTTGTACGTAACATAATTATTTGCCTTTTTCTCTGAGGATTTCTGTGTTGATAAACTCATTTATTGAGTGCTTGCTCTGTGTCAGACATTGGGGAGTACATGGGTCAAAAGACATAGTATTAACTAGGTGTTCAGTCTAGTGCAGAGAGGACACTGCCATCACTTTGTAATCCATCATTTATTTCACTGAGTATCAGACCGTCACCTATTGCTCTTACATGTCAAATTTAGTACAAGGTGGTAGACGAATTTTGTATCTAATAGGGAAAGAATGGGTTTTCTCCTCAGGTTTCTACCAGCTCCCACCTGGAGAAGTGGTTCAGGAAGATGAAAATAGTGTGGCCTTCCTGACAACTTAGAACCCCACTGAAATGGTTCTGGTTTCCAGAAATAGTAGTCAGAGAGCTGAGCTGAAAGGGAGCAGATCACCAGGTGCTTAATGGAAACACAGAACTCTCCATCCTCACCAGGAAGCTTCATTTTTATTCTAGCCAAATATAGGGCTTTCCTTTGGGCTACTAACAAAGTCTCTGACAGCAGGACCTAGATCGAAGCTCAGAACTGGTTTAAAGAACAACAGGAAAGCCATTCTGTACCTGCAACTTTTCCCATCTAACTGGCAGACCGTGCTGGCTAGTTCTCAAGGGAACCGTCTTCTCTCCAGCGGTTCAGCCAGATGGGAAACTCCCGCAGGTACCAGTGACATGAGGACTTAGCCATGTTTTCACTCCTGCTTGAAGATATTCAGATTTATGGTTTCCAATTTAGGACAAGAATTATTTGTTCCTAATTTACAAGAGAAAAACAACTCCATTAAAAAGTGGGAAAAGGACCTGACAGACACTTTTCAAAAGAAGACATTTATGTGGCTAACATATAAAGAAAAGCTCAACATCGATCATTAGAGAAATGCAAATCAAAACCATAATGAGATACCATCTCACACCAGTCAGAATGGCTATTACTAAAAGTCAAAAAATAACAGATGCTGGTGACATTGCAGAGAAAAGGGAACACTTATACACCATTGATGGGAGTGTAAATTAGTTCAACCATTGTGGAAAGCAGTGTGGTGATTCCTCAAAGACCTAAAAGCAGAATAACCACTCAACCTGAGAATCCCAAAACTGGGTATATACCCAGAGGAATATAAATCATTCTACCATAAAGACACATGCACATATATGTTCACTGCAGCACTATTCACAATAGCAAAGACATGGAATCAACCTAAATGCCCATCAGTGACGGACAGGATCAAGAAAATGTGGTACATATACACCATGGAATACTATGCAGCCATAAACAAAGAATGAGATGTCTTCTGTGGGAACATGGATGGAGCTAGAGGCCATTATCCTTAGCAAACTAACGCAGAAACAGAAAACCAAATACCGCATGTTCCCACTTATAAGCAGGAGCTAAATAAGAACTTACGAACACAGAGAAGGAAACAAGAGACACTGGAATCTACCTAAAGGTGGCGGGTGGAAGAGGGAAAGCAGCAGAAAAGATAACTATTGGGTACTAGGCCTAATGTCTAGGTGATTAAACAATCTGTACAACAAACCCCCATGACACAAGTTTACCTATGTAACAAACCTTCACACGTACCTGTTGGGGTGATCAGACCCAACACCAGGTTGTGGGGGTGACAAAGTCCTGCAGAGTCAAAAGATTGAGAAAAAGACAGTGAGAGAGAAAAAGGTGAGACACCAGGGAGCCATCGCTAGTGTACGGAGGCTGCAAAGGCTCCGAACTCCGGGAACCGACGCTATTTATTGATAATCCAACAGAGAAACAGGTGGAGAGAATGTGGAGGTCAAAAGGACACGCTGCATTAAGCACATGACTTACAGCTGTGATCATTTAGCATTTATATGGAACATGTTCTGATACTTGAGATAATGGGAATAGGAGCCTAAGAACCTAGGAGCAAGGAGCCAGCAAGTCTAGACACATTCCAGAGGACATTATGCAAGCCCCGCCTCAGTTTCCCTCCCAACACTCAGCTTTTTCCCAACATGTACCCCAAACCTAAAATAAAAGTTAAAATAACTAAAGAAAGAAATCTTTGTTCTTCCACACCCCACCTTAACTATTCCACCATTTGTGAGAAAGGACTGTTTCTCCACGTAAATCTCCATATTTATATACATGGTTGAGATGAGTGTGACAGCAGCCTCCAGGCAGGGGTATCCTAGAACCAACAGCATAACAATAAGGTTGAACCAGTCTTGAAAAAAAACTAAGTCATGACAATTAAGAGGAAATGTTATGTGGCAAAGCATCCTGCAGTTCAATCCCAGGGTTCTGCCAGGAGTTCGGATAGAAGAGAATTAGTAATTAGCCTGTGTGCTCTATTCCCGCATTTGTTTTGGTTTCCATTTAACCTGACTAGAATGTAGAATTCCCTGCTTGAGATGGCTGCTAATGAAAATTGATCAGCCTTCTCATCATGTATTGTGTGGGAATTTTTCTTCCTTCCAAAACTACCCTTCCAGGGGCATATGCTCCTGGCTGCCTAGCTGAAAAGGAATATTTGTAAATCTCAGTTACAAGGCCCAAAATGAGCATTCAAGAATATGCTAACATCAGGCCCAAACTTCTGTGGGCTTTTCAAGTTAGGGCATAAAACTCAAACCAGAGTCAGATTCTAAAATGAAAATGTTATACAAAAATTTTCCATTACCTACGAACCCCCACAGCTACTGTGGGGTTATTTGAAGGTGTATCATTAGAGATTACCTAAGTGAAAGGAGGGTTTTCTAATCATTAACATAGGGCTGGAAGATACATTCAGGAGATATTTGTTTTCTTTTTGTCTTTCCGCATGAATGACAGTCTACTCTATCTTTCATGACCCCTGGGAAGAATGTGCCAGGTGCCCTCAGTGACTCTTCATCAAGTCCTTGACATACCTGCCTCCCAGTAGTTTGCTATTAGCTCATGCTTACGCTGAGACTACAAGTTCATGCTTCCGGACTCTAAAAATTAGGTCATGAATTATGCTTAAGGTGATACATTTACACGTACACATAAATCCTAATTTGAAGGATTTAATTATACATTCCTTATACCTGTAAACTGAACCAGAACAAGATATTTGTGATCCCTGCACAAGAAAATAAAGAAACCTGATCTTCAAGTCAGTTCTGTCTCATACAAACCGTGATTTCACCATTTTAATGACTGGAAGCTGATTCAAACTTCCTTTCTACTAAACCTGCAAAAGCATTTTATATTCTTCCAGATTCTTTATAGGCTTGTACTTGGTAATTAATCCCCCAAGTGTAATATAAAGTGAGGAAAATACAAATATCCAGGCTCCTGGAAGCAGCCGGCTGTGCAGGTGACGCAGGTAAACAGATCAGCATCTAGAACCTGACTGGAAAATCAGGGCGAGGAATGGGGTGGCAGGAGGAAGAAGAAAAGAGGGCTGCAAAATCTACCAAGCAACACTTCCATTTCCAGAGAAAGCAGAATTCACTGGCTAGATTAGAAATGGTCAAGAAATTTTATTGCCAGCTTATTTCCACAATGTAAACATTATTAAATGAAAAGAAACAAGAAACCAATTCAGTTCCAGGGTGAATGTAAATAACAGTAATAGGCAATGCAGCAGCACACCACATCTGACCCCCTGGGTCCCAGGCTCATAAACCTCCTCTGCTTATGATGACAAACGCTCCAGGGTATAGTATACCCAGGCCCAGTGAAACTGCATACAAAATTGAACACCTTCCAGTCCATGACTCTTGTTCATTTTTTGTGGATCGCAATGTATGATTAGAAGACTGCCTTCTCAGATTTTTGCCCTTATTTCAAATTCTTTCTGGAAAAGTAACTTTCTAAGCAGAAGAATGATTCTCAGTTGTTATCATTGATTGGTTCAGGGAAAAAAAAAAAACTGCAAAAGCAAATTCTGTCAAAAAGCATATGTTCCTTATAAATCTTTTTAGAATTATTAGAACCAACTAATATGATAATTAACATGCTAAAATAATTCCAGTCTATGGAATAACTAGATCAAATGGTTACTAGAATGGTTAGTAGATCAAGTGTTTACTGAAAATTACAATCTCATAATTAAATCATTTGTGCTAAAAGAATAATTTTGAAACTCTGCCATAGTCCTTATGCAGTTTATAATCTGGGGAGAAAACAAGACATCGATGGAACAGGAAAGATAGCACAAATGCCTTACCTGTGTAAAGAGACTGCAAATCTATTTTCAGAGAAAAGGAAAATTTTTAAGGAAAGGAGTATTCAAGAAAGACATTTATGAAGGCAGCTAGGTTTTCAGCTAACCTTGAATAATGAGGAAGCTATAGAGAAGTGGCAGGGAAACTGCAGCTGTGCAGAGTGGCATGAGTGAGGTGCAGGTCATAAAATGGTTGCACATAAGATTAACAAGAGAAAAACCAATAGCTTCCCTCCATACTTAGACCAGCCAAATGAACAATATCACAATAAACCGCATTCACAAAAGCCATATTAAAAAACTGTAAAGCACTTATAAATAAATCTTTCAAGAGCAGGACATGATCCAGATACATATACCTGAAACTAAGTGGAGAGAGATATCCATTCTTATATAAGGAAACTTAATGCCAATATTGCTGGTAATTTTCCTTAATTTATATATTCAATGAAAGTTCAATCAATACTTTAATTTTTTTAGAACTTTACAGAACTTCAAAACCTGATCCTAAAAGTCATGTAAAAGAGAAAAGCAACATGAATAGCAAAGAAACCCTGAAAAAGAAGAAATGAATGCTGGCTTGGTATTATACAGCACTGTAGGAAATTAAACAGTGTGAGTAAAGGTTCCAGAGATGATAAATAGATCAGTGAAACAAAACAAAGTATTCAGAAACAATCCCAGTTATTTAGAGCTGAAAATATTAAAAGGTGGCATTTCAAAGCAGTGGGAAAGGATATACTATTCAATTTGCCCATGCTGTGTTGGAACAATTGGCTATAAATTTTTCTTTTAAAAAAGTAAGGTTAGATCTCTGCATCACATTAATAACACACATCAATCCTCAATGCACTAAAGGACTCAATGTGAAAAACAAAATTCTGGTAGTGTGGAAAAAAACAGAATTGTTTATAACCTTAAAGGGAGGTGGGAACCTTTCTTAAATAAGACACAAAGCAGAGGAGCAATAAAGGGGAAAAATGGATAATCTGCCTACATAAAAACTTTAATCTCTACTACAAAAGAAAAGCCTAGTCTGGAAGAAAGTGTTTGCAAAATGTAACATGTACAATGCACTAACATCCAAAATTTTTAAACTTCCAGAGGTGTTCCCTTCCCCTACCCAAATTCCCAATACAAGCAGAGCCCATAAATCAGCAAGCATCTTCATTCCTCCTTCTTGTAAGAACTGGGGAAAAACAATCCTGAGCTAGAACCAGAGCAACACAGAGGGCAGCATAGCTCAGACAGCACGAGAAACATAACACTTCCAAACACGCAGGACAGATGTTCAGGGTAAGATGTGTATCCCTTTTTTGGCAACACAGTTGTGAGAAACTGGTTAAGCTAAGCTGCTGAAACAAGCTCCATAGGACACAGCTTTGTTTCAAAAACCAGGTGAGATATGGCTACAAATAAGTCATAATTTCCAACGCAGAGGAAAAGAAAAAGCACCAAGAATGAAATTCTGCTCTAGTCTAATACCCCATGGGAAACTTGCCTTCCTTAGGTGGTCCAAGAAAGCCCAATTTATTCAAAAGTAAGCAAAATAAACAAAAGAAACAGGCAGGGAACCAATGTAACAATGCAATAAATGAGAGAGAAGAGGCCAGTAAAACTCATTATCAGATGAGT